GATGGTGTGACATCTTCAACCATGAACTTAAGGGCTAGGAATGTTGAAGAGGAAGAAGAAGTTATGAACAAAGAACTGAAACAGGTTGTGACGACTGGAGAGATGTGTGGAAAACGAGATAAACGAAGTCAGCGGGAGAAGATTCTTGAGCTTTCTATCAGTGTATAAAAGGGTGTCAGAACAAGAACTCATTCTGTCCGAGATCCAAGTTGTGGACGGACATGACATCCAACGCCAGTCGTCAAGAAGGAGATGACATTTACCAATCCTGCGAGTGAAGGGTGGCATTAGTGTATGTTCTTCGTTGTGTCGCATTAGTGTATGTTCTTCGCCTGGTCACATTAGTGTATGTTCTTCGCCTGGTCACATTAGTGTATGTTCTTCGCCTAGTCGCATTAGTGTATGTTCTTGGTTGGGTCGCATTGGTGTATGTTCTTCGTTGTTTAACGTTATAATTCAATGCTACTATTTTGTTTTTCGACTCCGTTCGCGAACCGAAATGTTTGAGAGCCGAAACAGTTTTTTCCCCATACCTTTTAATGCAACCCCAGAACAAAATTGTTTTTTGGATTTATGCATGGTTAGTAAAGGTCGCTTTTCTACGCATTTAGGCATATAGGGCTAGACCTATATTCTATGGAACAATCGGCACAATATGGGTGATGTGGTCAGCATCACGCCAGCTACCTTTACTTCCCTGGACTGAACCTTGTACCCAATTAAGGCTGGGTCGACCTGAGTCAAGGTAATTTTTGAAAAAACTTCGGCTCCGCCAGGGAGCGAACCCGCGACCTTCAGATCCGTACTCGAGTGTCTAATTTCTGCATGGTAAAAATCTATAATAAAAACTATTCAGTGTAACACTACCTTTGTAGTTGATAGCTGCTGGCACAAATGAATGATAGAGCAGGAATGCATATCTTCGAAGGAGAGTCCCTTTCCATAGTTTTTTAAATGTTTTGAACAACAGATGAACATCATGGCACACGGGTAGTAGCCCATAAGTGCTCCGTTCTTCTTCTAACTCAAGCTTGAGTCCGAAGAAGCCCAGCACAGTGCACAGGCTCTGTGGCACCAGCTGGAATTCTGAAATACTTTAGGTAGATTTTTAACTTCAAATTTTGCCCGGGCAGCGTCAAAAGCTACTTTTATCGATTTCCAACTGCCAAGGGATTTTTTACGTACGCAACAATGCACACGGGCGTACGACCTCACTACCCAGAGACCATTCCTTAATAAGGTCGGTCATCTGTATAGTTTTTTTCTGGTGGGTCTTTCCCCACCCCCACCAACTTTCTTTGTTTGTATCCCGTGAAAGTGGTTTGATTGTTTAATCGGTGGCTGGCGTTTTGCGAGGACAACGTCTCTGTGACATTTTTTGTCTATATTTGATATTTTAACGAAAATGGGATATCACATTATCTGCTCTACTGGTCATAGTTTTGTTAGGGCGCTGTAGAATATGTCAAGCGAAAGCTGCATTTCAAAAAATGAAAAATATTCAGTAAATCGCTCTCATTTAATGTCAGAAAGAGGCTGCTAAAATGTTACATAAAACCTATTCTGCTGTATGGAAGTGAATCTTGAAATGTCAGTGAACAAATCTGAAAGAATTTGGAAGCAATCAAGATGTGGTTTCTGAGACAAAAAAAACTCATGAAAGTTGATCTCTATATACAACAATAAGAAAGAGACAAACACTGTTCTTTGGCCACATAATGAGAACAGAGACATTGGAGAACATTGTGACAACTGGACATATCAGTGGAAAAAGGGGTAGAGGCAGACCAAGACAGATGATGCTGGATGGGCTAAAACGATGGCATGGAGGGATATCATCAAGAGAGCTGTTCCAGGCAGCCATGGATCGTGATCTGTGGAGGCGCAGTTGGCAGGGAACATGATGATGATGATGATGTAGCTCAATGTAAACCTGCACGTTATTGTCTACTTGCTACAACTTCTTCTCTTCTAAGTGCTCCTTCTATCATAACTTTTGTCATGTTCATGTTGCAACTCAACAAGTTCTTCTGTGTTTATTTCTTGTCTGTGGTCTCTCAGCAACTCCACGAAAATACAACAAGCCAACTTCAAACAAAGTTGACAGCCATCAAACCTGAGTACAAATAGTTCTGTTCGTGAGCCGAAAACAAGGCACCAAAGCCATGATGTGCCTTCGTGCACCGAGGAATTGTTCGCGGGTCGAGCGTAAATTTGTTCTGAAACTGTCTCTGTGTAACGATTTGTTCGTGACTAGAGGCGTTCGTGACTCAAGGCACAACTTTTTTAGAATTTGGCCTTTCTTTTGACTTTCCATGGACTACCCTGTCATATCTTGCAGTCTAAAATGAGTGCTACAAAATGACATGGAAAGTAAAGGCGGCGAAATACATCATCAGTCGAGTACCAGATTGTTACAGATTAGGGATCTTGTACTTTATTTCCGATGCACTGGCTACATGTAGTTTAGAGTCCTTTGCTTTCATCATCATTATCACCAACACTTTTGGCGTCTTCGTCAGTTGTGAAATTTATCATACACATCACAGAGGGCGCGGGGTTTATTCTTCCATTCCGTTATTTTCAGTGCAGTCTTTTCCATATTATGCATATAGTTCAATTGAGCACCTTTTGCCTCTCTTTAACAACGTTCACAGTACTTTCCATCTTCTTCTTCTTCTTCTTCTTCTTCTTCTTCTTCTTCTTCTTCTTCTTCTTCTTCTTCTTCTTCTTCTTCTTCTTCTTCTTCTTCTTCTTCTTCTTCTTCTTCTTCTTCTTCTTCTTCTTTTTCTTCTTCTTCTTCGCGTCCACCAGCTGTTCACTCTGGCGGAATGTTCTGGTTGCTCGTCCACTACTGAACTGCAGTCCTGCTCCAGAACCTGAGTGTTGCGTGTGCTCAGTCCAGCACCTTTTGCCTCTCTTTCACAACGTTCACAGTCCTTTCTATATTATGTATATAGTTCAATTCAGCACCTTTTGCCTCTCTTTAACAACGTTGTGTCTTTTCCATGTTATGCATATAGTTCAGTCCAGCACCTCTTGCGTCTCTTTGACAACGTTCACAGTCCTTTCTATATTATGTATATAGTTCAGTTCAACACCTTTTGCCTCTCTTTAACAACGTTCTGTCTTTTCCATATTATGCATATCGTTCAGTCTAGCACCTTTTGCCTCTCTTTAAAAACGTTCTGTCTTTTCCATATTATGCACATAGTTCAGTCTAGCACCTTTTGCCTCTCTTTAACAAAGTTAATGAAATAGGTCGTCTCTTGGACGTCCTCGGTTTATCAGTTTTTTTTGTTTCCTGTTTCACTACTTCTTATGTTGCGGCCCCAACAGCGATTTTTCGCTATTTTAAAACTACACTCCGGCTGATGTTTGAGGCCCCAATATAAGCTAGCGGTTAAACAGGTTTTCTGGGACTTCCCATAAATCGTGGCACTTTGTGTTGCGGGGTGTTTATCGCTCGTTGTCTAGACATGTTTCCTTTACTTCAAAATAGACACACCCACTCACACCCCAAAGTCCCCCCCCCCCCCCGTTTTTTTTTACGCCAGCTGCATGTCGGTTAAATGATGCTAGACTGATACGTATATAGATTGTGATTGATGTCATATAAAAACTATACTTCTAATGACATTTCCTGGTATCCCATTTCGGGCTGAGTTGACCTGGGAACAAGGTCAGTTTTGAAGAAAAAATGCGGATTGAAACCCAAGACTCTTCCGTGTCGGGCTCTGTTGCTCCATTTCTGTAAACAACGATTATACCCCCTGCATGACTTGCAAGCATGTCGTAGAATGCGACTATGAAGGTGTTTATTCACTGTCAGAATGTGTCTACCTGGGAGGGAGCGAACCCACAGTCTGCATACATATTAGCCCAATGTGTAAAACAGATATGGACGCGAAGCTACATTTCGGGATTAAGACCAAAGTCAAGAAGGTGACGAACAATCAGAACTTTCCGCCGGAGCTAACAGCCGGTGCTTGCTAAGAAGAAGAAGAAGAAGAAGAAGAAGAAGAAGAAGAAGAAGAAGAAGAAGAAGAAGAAGAAGAAGAAGAAGAAGAAGAAGAAGAAGAAGAAGAAGAAGAAGAAGAAGAACAAGAAGAACAAGAACAAGAACAAGAAGAACAAGAAGAAGAAGAAGAAGAAGAAGAAGAAGAAGAAGAAGAAGAAGAAGAAGAAGAAGAAGAAGAACAAGAACAAGAACAAGAAGAAGAAGAAGAACAAGAACAAGAACAAGAAGAAGAACAAGAACAAGAAGAAGAAGAAGAAGAAGAAGAAGAAGAAGAAGAAGAAGAAGAAGAAGAAGAAGAAGAAGAAGAAGAAGAAGAAGAAGAAGAAGAAGAAGACCTTATTGTCCTCATTGTTACCTTGTACGTTTGCCGAAGCCGTCCTGGTGTAGTGGCTAGGCGCTTGCCTGCCGATCTGAAGGTCGTGTGTTCAGGTCATGAGGGAGACAGACCCTTTTTTTTTTTTTTTATTTAAACAATGACTTTGTTTCCCAGGTCGACCCAGCCTTAAATAGGTTCCCGGTAAACGTGTGTGAAGTAAAGGCAGCCGAAGTGATGTTGACCACATCATCCAGCAGTGCTTATTGCTCTGTAAAATAAAGGTCTCGCCCTATATGCCCAACCCAATAAGCCTAAAGGCATGGAATAGAGTCCTTTACTTGAGGTCATTTTCGACTGACTGACTGACTTTCTACCCCACCAGGACATCACACAAGCGATAAACACCCGATGACACAAAGTGCCACCATATGGATGAGGATCGCCGTGGAGAGGTCCCAGAAACCGCGTTCAGACATTTGGCCATATTTATGGCCTGCCTATATTGCGGCCCCTGGCAAAAGCCAGGGTGGGGCTTCAAATAACAAAAAATTTCGTCCTAAAAAGGACGAAACTAATTAACCAGAAAAGAGGTCAGTTTCTATATGTTTATATTTATATTTTTATTGTATGTGTTATAAAGCGGAGACTGTGCACCTGTTTCAGTGGGGCGGCTGTGGCGACGACCTGATGTTTGGGCTGGTGTTCAGCGAGACCTTCACCGACGCCAGCCTGGTCAACAAGAAGGGCAAGTCCAGGTCCTCCAAGAAAGCCATGATGAACCGGCATAACTTTATGACTGGCAGGCAGGTGAGCACGTGTGCTTGAGTCAGTGAGAGAGGGGGGGGGGGAGAGGATGTGAGATAGAGGGAGGAGAGAAGATGTGAGAGTGTGTGTGTGTGAGAGAGAGAGAGAGGGAGGGAGAGTATGTGAGATAGAGGGAGGAGAGAAGATGTGTGTGTGTGAGAGAGAGAGAGAGAGAGAGAGAGAGAGAGAGAGAGAGAGAGAGAGAGAGCAATGTCAGGTCCTTGAAGAAAACAACGATAAACAGGAAATACTTTATGACACAGAAATTGGTGGGTAGGTTTTCACGAGATAAATAGATAGATAGATAGATAGATAGATAGATAGATAGATAGATAGATAGATAGATAGATAGATAGATAGATAGATAGATAGATAGATAGATAGATAGATAGATAGATAGATAGATAGATAGATAGATAGATAGATAGATAGATAGATAGATAGATAGATAGATAGATAGATAGATAGATAGATAGATAGATAGATAGATAGATAGATAGATAGATAGATAGATAGATAGATAGATAGATAGATAGATAGATAGATAGATAGATAGATAGATAGATAGATAGATAGATAGATAGATAGATAGATAGATAGATAGATAGATAGATAGATAGATAGATAGATAGATAGATAGATAGATAGATAGATAGATAGATAGATAGATAGATAGATAGATAGATAGATAGATAGATAGATAGATAGATAGAGAGAGACAGAGACAGAGACAGAGACAGAGAGAGATAGTGAGAGAGTGTGAGAGAGATAGTGAGAGAGTGTGTGTGAGAGGATGTGAGAGAATATGTTAGAGAGAATGTGAGAGAGAGAGAGCATGCGAGTGTGTGTAAGAGAGAGTGTTTGATAGACAGTCTTTGAGAGAGTGTGTGTGAGAGTGGGAGAAAGAGTTTGTGTGAGAGTGTGAGAGAGAGTGTGTGTGAGAGGATGTGAGAGAATATGTGAGAGAGAGAATGGGAGAGAGAGTGTGAGAGTGTGTGTGAGAGAGTGTTTGAGAGACAGTGTTTGGGAGACAGTGTTTTAGAGAGAGTGTTTGAGAGACAGTGTTTGAGAGACAGTGTTTGGAAGACAGTGTTTGGGAGACAGTGTTAGGGAGACAGTGTTTGAGAGACAGTGTTTGGGAGACAGAGTTTGAGAGACAGTATTTGAGAGAGTGTGTGTGAGAGTGGGAGAAAGAATGTGTGTGAGAGTGTGAGAGAGTGTGTGTGTGAGAGAGTGTTTGAGAGACAGTGTTTGAGAGAGAGTGGGTGAGAGTGGGAGAAAGAGTGTGTGTGAGAGTGTGTGTGTGAAAGAGAGTGTGTGAGAGAGTGTTTGAGAGACAGTGTTTGAGAGACAGTGTTTGAGAGAGTGTGTGTAAGATTGGGAGAAAGAGTGTGTTTGAGAGTGAGAGAGAAAGTGTGTGTGAGAGAGAGTGTGTGTGAGACAGTTGTGAGAGAGTGTGTGTGAGATAGAGTGTGCGAGAGAGTGTGTGTGTAAAAGAGAGTGTGAGAGAAAGAGTGCGTGTAAGAGAGACAGAGTGTGTATGAAAGACAGAGTGTGTATGTGAGATTGAGTGTGTGTAAAAGAGAGAGAGGAAAAGAGAGTTTATGTGTGTGTGTGTGGGAGTGAGAGAGAGTGTGAGAGCGACAGGGTGAACGATTCGAGTCTTCTAAGAAAGCAGTGATAAACAGGCATAGCTGAATGACGTTTTCTTGAATTAGAGAGTCAGAGAGAAAGAGAGAGAGAGAGAGAGGAAAACAGAGAGAGAGAGAGAGAGAGAGAGAGAGAGAGAGAGACAAGTCCAGATCGTCGAAGAAAGTAGTGATGAACCGTCGTAATTTTTTGACAGGGAGGTAGACGGTGGCGTTTTTGAGAGTGTGTGTGTGTTTGTGTGTGTGTGTGTGATAGAGAGAGGGGAAGTGGGAGAGGGAGAAAGGGGAGGAGAGAAATAGAAAGACGAGGCGAAAGTCCAGGTCGTCAAAGAAGGCAATGATGAACATGTGTAATGTTATTTAACGTATTAGTATTTATATTCCTTCTCCGCCTCCTCCTCTTTCTTCTTCTTCTTCTTCTTCTTCTTCTTCTTCTTCTTCTTCTTCTTCTTCTTCTTCTTCTTCTTCTTCTTCTTCTTCTTCTTCTTCTTCTTCTTCTTCTTCTTGTTCTAACACATTCGTCGCATCGTGTTTGTGGCCTTTCTTTGTCTTGTCTTCATATATTTTAAAATATGTGTAATTTTGCCAGTACCGCGATAAATTGCGGCCTGTTTTATTTGACTGAGTTTTGTTTAACATTCATAGCATGTACACGGTACTTTTATTTCTGTTTATCTGAGAATCCTTTGCGTCCGATACATTAAAATGAAATTCTCCGTGTGGTTCCGGGGCCTGTTAAAGGGAAAACAAGAATAGATCCACTGCCACCCAAAAGCATGTCGTAAGAGTCGACTAATTAATTGGGAGCTTCCTTCGAAGTCGGAGTGCATCTGTCTGAGAGGCAAGGAATCAGCAGGCTGCATACAAATGAGTCAGATCTGTACAACAGATACACACGCAACACTCAGGTTCTGGAACAGGACTGCAGTCCAGAAGTGGATAAACAACCAGAATTTTCCACCGGAGTTTACAGCCGGTAAACGCGAAGAAGAAGATTACAATGAAATCAGCTGAAAGTATAAAATCTTCAGTCAATCGTGTGACACTTTCACCACCAAAGTTGGTTGAAGTGGATCACCAGCACTCGCCTTCTAGCACTGGTTGTCCATTCCTTTAGACGACTCCTGCTTGTCAGTCTCCTGATTGTATCCGTCCACTTGTATCGCTATTTACCTTTGGCTCGCTAGTCTTCTTTTCCCTCCAAACTGGTTCGTATCAGAGTGTTATGTCTTGTCTGGTGGTTCAACGCCTACATACAAGACAACAGGATTGTCTCTCTGTTAGTTTGGCTTATGACGTGTCTCTCAAGGAAGACCCTAGCAGAAGCTATGCTACCGTTAGCTTAGCTCTTCGGAAATCCTCTACCACATCAAGGTTAAGCTTGCTTGGCTTACTTTGCTGAGAAAAAACAACAATCGTTATATTCAATCAATGTCAACGAAGAGGAGAGCTTTAGGTTATATTTGTGACTAGGTTATGTGTGCCATATAAAATGGCTTAACATTGCACGCCACCAAGAGTTCTGAAAAGGTCTCTTTCAGTGTTGAGACGAATAAAGGAGACAGACCCAAATACTGTCCTGACCGGTGGCGAAGTCGTCTACCGGCGAACCACTGGGCGACTCAGTCTCCCTTGTTCAAGGTGGAGACACATCAGAAGGGATTTGTGGGTCTCCATGGCGAGGTGGCCAAACCAGTTAGCCAAGTGCTTTAGCGGTCGGGGTTCGGTTTTACGGATGTGTTGTTTAGTTCATGGGTTGAGTGTTTACAGAGGTCTTGTGTGATGTCGCTGGAGCTAAGGATTTCGGGCTTTGTGCGACAGACTGGGCAGGTGGAAGATCATTTTACGGAGCAAGACCGGGTTATATGTGATAACCCTATGCAAGGAAGTCGATCATTTTGGATTTAACTTTATCATCAAATGAGATTTTTGTAAATAATGGAAGATCTTTGTGTTTGACCGTGTTCGTTTCCATAAAATAGATATGGGCGTCTGTAAATCCACATCTCCAGAGACTTAAGTCGACGTTTTAACTGAG